AATTCTTCAATGGCGAGATATTCGTATCTCGCCAATTTTTTTCCCGTGTTCCATTTCTTCCATGAGCCACTGTATATTAAATTTGAATTTAAATCTCTAATTTTTATTGCACTCCGCACATGTTTTTAAGGTTTATAAGACTTATGTTTGTAAAAAAGAAAAACCTTATAGCTACATAAATGTTTATTCAAAGAATTTTACAGTTAATTAATGAAAAAAGTTTTCATGCACTTAAAGCTTGTTTATATGAGAACATGTAACAGTAGTATAAATAGGTTTTCTTTATTTATAATTTAGCTGAAATATACGTACTTGCAATGTGTAATTTTAACTTTAAGTTATTTATGTCATCGTCATTAAGTTGTTGATAAATTCGTTATTAAACAAGAAGTTTAAGCATCTGATTTTGCTATTACTTAATCCTTAAATACATGTAAAAGCAGAATGTATGGTCCCCCAACGTAACGTAATTTCCTGATCGGGTAGAATGCGCAACACAATTATCGTTAACTATTATATGTAATTGCTTTCCCGCTAAAAGTTACGCAAAATATTCACAATGAAATCGGCCGGATACAACGTCATCATTTTATCTGCAAACGCGTATTCGAGTCTAATTTCTTTTGTCCAGTGGAAGAGACGCTAAAGCGGGGAACTCGTGTTTTAGATGGAGCGTAAAGCATATTTATATACTAAATTTATTTTCTTGATCTCATATTTAATCTTTTTACTTCTTATCTCTCGTTTTACTTTCTAAAAAAGATGTGGGCCGGGAGCTTGGCTTTTAACATGACGACGCATTGTCCAAACACGGAGTTCCTTGGTGTTGAAATCAAACCAATCTATCCGAGTCAAATAAAGTCGGCAAATGTACACTTCTATCAGTATGATTTGATGCAATTGGAACAATTATGTTTCGAGGAAAAGTCATTTGATATGGTTCGAATAACTCATATGCATCTTACGATTACTGAAGATAATCATGTCATAATACTTGAGAAAATGCTAAAGTATGTTTCATATATACGGATGAGACTAGACTGCAAGCAATATATTAATTTTTCCATAATGATTTATTCTATTTTGACAGACTATTAAAGCTGAGTGGATATTTTTTAGAAAACGTACTTATTCTCTCTAATGTTGGACCAAATATGAAACGAACTTTATCGAGAATTATAATTGTTACTTTTATTTTGTAATAATAAATTATGACCTCAACATTCAGTTCTAAGGAGTATTGAAGGAAGCGCCGTTCCTGATCTTGAAAATATGCTTCTCGCTACTGAACAATTAATAAACGTTCGACAGGACATACGGATAATAAGACTTGGCCCATCTGGTGGTATCTCTGGAGAGTTATTTTTAACCAACATTGAAGAATTTTTTACTGGTAACATCAGCGAGATGTTATCGGAGTTGTTGGTCATGACTTCAAAAGAATACGAACAGTTTTGGCAGCAATTTAATGCTGAGTGTATTAAATTGGGAACTGGAATTCCGTTAACCAAAACTTGGGACAGAAAATTGCTATTTAACTTTTGGCTGTCATCCTTGAAAAAATTTTTCAATAACTTCCATATACAGTCAAAGTCCTTTACAACGACGCCATATACACCGGATTTGGCTTTAATCGAAGCCACGTTGATCTATCTACATATGTAAAAGTGTCCTACCGGATTTACTAATAAAAAGCATATGCCGGCCAAAAGTTCTATGCCAATGCGGCCGTTATAAAGGACCTTGACTGTGTCAGAATTTAAATTCCCCTATATAAGAATATGCTATGTAAGAATCTCTGATGCCAATTAAATTCCATATGTAATTTATTATAAATAATTCTATAAAATTATGTTTAAACTTTAGAAAGAAATTTGTTTTTTCTTGATTTATCCAGCCAGATAGTCATAATTAGCAATATATGTATGTAATGTGGGAATTTTTAACAGTCTCTAATTTTCTGTTAAAAAAAATCATTTATCCCCCGACTATACGGGTCTTCGGGAGAGTGTTTCCCTCTACGCCTTCTTGAAAATATTTTTCCGGGGGGGGGGTATATTGAGGAGAAGAAAATTATAGATAAAAATTTGTATTGCTGATGATTGTCATTTAACAATAAAACCCGCTTATCTTTAACTGCGTACAATTCTTCGATGTTTTTTTTCGTGTTACAATTCTATAGAGTTTCTGAACATAATTACAAAATGCGCCCCCAAACTATAAAAAGTTCCCGACAAGTTAATATTTTTTCTGTAAATGTTCTTGTTTATTATTTTATTCGAAAACGTCACGAATGATGGCTTATCTGTATTAAAGAATTATACTTTTACTATGATTAGTAAGTTTTTTACGAACGAAATGTATGAAATTTATGCGATGATGCATACGAAAAAATATCTATAGTTCATCAAGTAAATCAAAGGACGTCAAACATTAACGGGGAATTCGATAAAATTAGGTAAAAAAGAAATAGGTAAAGTTCTATGGATATTTACAGTTCGAATGTTATCTTAAATTTGGAATCGATGAAAATTGTAGCTTTAACCATTTTTTAAGGTAAGATCTTTCTTTGCTTATCCAAGAAGATTTATCGATAGCGCGTTGCAACACTTCCGCGTTTCTCATCGGCGGAACTTTCTCCATCACTTCCATCAGGGTTTGAAGTGGTTTAAATTTAGCTATATATGCAAGGGCATTATATCCTTTAGAATCCTCAGAACGAGGATCCGCGCCCAATTCTATGCATTTCAACAAAAGCGACGGAATATATTTGTCATGTTTCGTTAGTACGGCAAAATGAAGAATTCCACATCCCTCGTCGAAATCTCTTTCGTGAATGTTAAACAGGTTAGTATCAACCAACCATTGAAGTAATATTGGGTATTTTTCGGTATAGTCGAGTTCACGGGTCATTAATTTTGCTGCAGACTCAAGTAAAACTGTTCGTTTTAATTGAGGATCTCGAATGGCTATGTTCCCGTTCAATGCCCTTATCATTTGCAGAGTGTTAATGATATTTAAGATGGGCTGATTTTGTAGCGCTATGAACCAGGTCGGAAAATGCAGGTACTTTCCATCCATATCAGCGCCAGCTGATAATTGCTCACGGAGACCATTTTGACAGAAGAGTGCATCAGGAGCACGTTCTTTCTGACGATTATAATCTATGTTCGAATCTTTGGCTTGATAATGATAATTGTTGGTGTCAAAATTTGTAGCGCAATTTGAATTGTGGATCTCGCCAGAATAATGTGAAACATGTCTGGCGCATCTTTTCTCCGATTTACTATTAGGATTTTGTTTTTCTAAACTCTGAAAACAACAAAAAATATAACTTTAATTTTGAATACGCATACGAATGAAAAATAGAAATGGTCGAAAACATCATACAAACCTTTAGAGATTTTGATACACTTGACATGTCTACTACTATGATGATGATGATTTGGCGGTGATGAGGTGAAAACTGACTACTACAAGTAATATTATTATTGTTTGGTCTAATCACAGGCACGTAACGAATAGTTGAAAAGTGTTGTAATCTACGAGCGGAAGAAAGTCGGTAGGAAGAATTTATTATGCTTGTGAATAAAAAGACATGAGCGTAAATGTAGTAGTCTGTTGCTGTAAAGTAATATAATGTGTTATTTCGAGAAAACCAGTTTTTTAATAAGTAAAAAGATCACGTAGAATTGGTGTTATTAATCATAAATAATGATAAATAAATAAAAGAATGGTAAAATAAATGACAGCAAGGAGTTGTTATTGATAACGATAGTATAATGGTGGACGTTTGGATGGTAATAGGGTTAATAGGCGATATTGTCAGTAATTATGTAAAAGTTTGTGTGGCGCGGGGAGAGGCGAGGGTAAAGACAGAAAAAGTATAACATAAATGAATGAACGCGTGGTTTGTGTTTGCATGAAGAAATGGTAAATCAACAATCGGCCATTACATGTACATGTATTAGTTTTTGGCATACCGATACCTTTATTTGGATTTCGCCCAAAAATCATCACACGCCATATATATTAATACATGTAAAAAAATATTGTCGGTATAACCATAATAAATTAAGTACATGTATATGTACAGTGTCATACATTCTATTCAAGTCATATTAAGTCACTCGTGAGATCGTGTGATAACCAGAAAAAAAAAGATGACCAATCGCTAATTGGCGTGATAATGATCTTACCATTTTTATAAATGACCGTATTTCGTAATCATGAGTACCCGGGTATCTAACATTCCACGGGTAATGTTAAAAAAGAAACTATCATCATTCCACGGGTAATGTTAAAAAAGAAAAACTATCATATTAGTAAAAAAGGGGATTCATGAATGCGATAAAAGTTCGTGAAGAAATTAATATGTAAGTGATGAAGTTTCCGTTTACCATATAACGCCCATGAGCGTTATTTCAAATCACGGCCCGCATCAAGCTTAATTCAGGCCGAAATTTGAAATTACACCCTTGCGCGTTATTTCGCTAGTATGGTATACGTGTACTAGCTTTCATACACAAAGTATATGTAGTCCGTCTGGGTACAAATACACCTGTTTCATCATCTTTTTGTAATTGGTGTTGCATAGAATTCAATAATACGCCAAATTACAAAATATTCGTATACTGAATGCAACAATTCTATCACAGGACTTTGTGTAAAGCATCTTTCGGATTTTCATTAATGTATGTATATATACGACAATCTACGCCAATTTTTTTCCGGTCGTGTGAGGAGGGTGTGAGTGAGTTCTATGGCTGAATCCAAATTTTTTCCAATGAGAAGACTGGAGTTCGTGCATTGAATTGCTTTGCATAGCATATTGTATTGAGAAGTTTGTGCGGTTATCATTATGAATTTTTTTCGTAATCAATGCAAGACGGAAAGCTTTTGAATAATTTTCACAAGATTTCATGCTTAGCTAATTTTATGGCATGATATGAATGACGATTATCAATGCTAAATATAGACAATACGAAAATGATTTAAGGGTAAAAAATTTTTTTGTTTGTCACAATTAACCTGCATAACTGTCGAGGTACTCTTTGATTTGAGAATAAAAATTCGTATTGACGTCATGTACACACACCTTAATAAGCTCTTTTATCTTTTCAAACGTCTAATTTAGCGGTTAGGCTTCTTCGTCATAGTTGTTCAACTCAAATTGTTCAAGATATGGCTATCTTTCTTTGAATTCGGGAGATATTAGCTAATATCAAAATGGAATCTATCTATAGCAATAAATACATAAACATTTTATATATTTCGATTAGCTAGAATTTATTATAATTCAGATTAATACTACGCATATCGCAAATAAATTAGCACTAAAAAAAAACATTGATTTTTTTTTGCTTTGTAATAATGATGCAGAATATTCCGTGAAGAAAATAAACGTTGTAAAATAGGTTGATAATACTAGAGTCTTGAATGCCCTAACATGTATTTGTCCAACAAATAGTTCGAAATGCAATGAATTTACACACAAGTTTATACGAATTTTATGTGGCGTCCATAGTTTTTATCATTTGATATTATCCAGCTTGTACGTGAATTTTGCAATGTTTTTATGATTTATATACAAATTTATTGTGAATAACATTTAATAATATGTAAATATAAATCGATATATCAATCTTAAATCAGAAGCGTTCTGTATAGTACCCTTCTGTAAAAAATTTAAAAAATTTACACCTTTCGTAAATTATTAACTAAAGTTTTTAAGTAATTATAACGTGATTTTATTGCAAACCAATAATTCTATTAAAAAAGGTCGAATTAAATTAAGGTTTAAATATTTTTATTTTTTTACTGTTGAGAGGCTTACGGAAGCTATTTTTTCCTTTCCTAAAAAAGTGTATTAAAACTTCAATTATTAATATATCATTGTCTTTTATCTTATTAGATACTTTCTTTGATCAATGTAAATATTGTTTTATTTTTGTAGTCTGATCACTGCATATCATTAGGATAGATTACAAGAAAAAAATCGAGTATAGGTGGTGAATATTGCAGAAAAATAATATATTTTATTAAAGGGGGGGGGGGGGTATTACTTGTGCTATATATTACAAATTGATGGTGAATGCTTACAGCATTTATTTGATTATTTCTCTTAATGTACTTTAGTGTTGTTGATAGTTTATTTAAAAATTCTATGATTATGATTAGGAAAAGAAGAAAATTAAGATGGATAATAATTTTAACACAACAACTTTTTTAATGACATTGTAGAGTTTTTTTATCCACTGATATCGAAGAATCATTTGTTGTTGAAATGTTCATTTTCTTATTAATGGTAGGTATTACTAATTGATTGGTGTTAACAGCGGTTGAACGATGTGAATCGGAGGCATTGATTGTTTCAACGTTAGAAATGTGCTGATAGTGAGAAAATCGTAATCTCGATTGAGGTTTAAACAAGGCATTATTTGGATGTAATGCGCATAACATCTTACATGGATTATTGATTAGAATTGCGTTCAAAGTTAATGGATTGTGAATACATGTATGAGCAATTATCATTATCGTAAGTGTAATTATTGATTTTGCTAAAGTCACTATTACAATTATAATTAGTATTATCATGGGAATCCAATTTCGTCTTTTTCACAAATCTCCCGTCATCCTTATTATCGTTATTGCTGTTGTTATTCTTGAGTTTTCGCTTTTCCGCGAGTAAACCTTCTAAATAACAGATATAATCAATTGCGTCTTGAAGGATAGCCATTTTATGAATTTGAGGTTGCTTTGGAACTATCTTTTGAAGCTGAACTATTTTACCATTTATTTTTTCGCGACGACGCTTGAATGTGCAATCTTACGCGCCAACTCTCGTTTTTCAGCTAATGAAAGTTGCTCATCATTAGGAACTAATTGATTATGGTAATGACGTGGCGGTATTTTTGGAATAATTGATGTGTGATGATACATGATTGAATATTTGATGAACTAACAGAGAAATTATATTCAGATACATAAACCTCAGAAGATTGACCATTAGAAATGCTGCCATATGTGATGCTGCATCATAGTCCAATTGCTCATAATTTGTGTTTAATTCATTTATTGGTACTGTCGACTGTAGTGATGGCGGTTGCTGTTAATTCCATTGGGTGGAGTTGGTGGTAACCAGAAATTTGATTTACATAAACTTCGGTGCTTGAAAAGAAATTTCTGTCGTTGATATTTGTTGGGATGTAATTGGCAATTTAAATACCGAACTTCCGGAAATCCCTCCCGGCGAAATTGGCGAAGTCTCGAATTTTTTCTTTATTGTTGTCTCACCTGAAACTTTGGTCGTTTGCTGTGATATAATGCTTTGACCTGAAAAGTTTAATCATCATTGTATCGTTTTGACTCGCTTGTATTGTTGACGAGTGTCGGAAGGTAGGAGGGTTTTTACCGTTTTGCGTATCTTCTGTTACAAACAATTATAATTACGAACGAATGAATTTAGAAAGAAGAGTTTTAGATATAATTCATATAAAAAATCATAGATGATATTGTTAAAAAGGATCGCAAACCGATAACGGAAAAAGAAAATAGATAATCATAATTTATACTTATAATTTGAGTCGCACCGCTTCACAAATGATATAACTTTAGTTTCCTTAAATTAGAAGTGGCGTAGCATGCGAGTCCAAAGTTTGCTATTGATGATGCAGGAGGCGTGAGAGAAGCATGTGTCGATAAATTTTTTTGGAGTCAGTGAAATTTATGTTCAGAATTGAATTCAACTGGACTGAACCAAAATTTTGATTCGGTTTGATTTAGTTTCTCTTAAATCGAGTAGATGAATAATTTCTGATAGAAGACACCAATTTATTATTACCAGTTCTTTAAATATCGTCTATAATATGGAAGTTCTTTTGATGACCAATCCAATTCAGAAAAAAGCATGATTTAGATTGAAAATCCGCAGAGATCTTGTATTAATTCATTTTTATTTCATATTGTCTTCTTTTGGAAAATCAGCCAAGAAGTAGAGATAAATGCCATTCTTTGAAATCGTATAATTTCTAATGCAATTAAAATTTCTATAGAACATGCATTTACCCTGTAAAAATGCATTCGATTTGCATGCTAAAGGCTATATTCATAAAAGGTTATGCCCAGCTCAAACTAATTACATGTATTTAATAATACATGCCTTATGGACATACATGTAAATTATGTGGATTCTACTTACCCTGACATATACTGGTATGTCCAGTTTACCGCATTTTTGCGCAATAATTTACTGCGTTTCTCCGAGTAATTAATTACTGCAAATTCTGAAATAAAAAACGTCTAGATCATTATAATGATCAAATTTAAAAAAATAAAAAATTCGGTAAATTTGGGCGCGGTATCTTTACATCCAATTGTCCAATTGGACAAAAATAGAACCAATAGATTCATATAGTTTAGACGAATTAATAATTCAATTTTTTCCAAATTGACTATTGGATGTCGAGATATCGCGCACGAATTTTTTAATTTGATCATCCGGTGCATAAATTTCGTATAGATGATTTTATAATGTAAATTGTAACCCACATCATTATGCAAAACCCAAATCGCGTTATAGACCATACGGATTCGTCAAATTCTGCATTTGCGGAAAACTGGAGACTCTAATATATACCATACTTCTTGTCTTATTTCGGGCATTTTCGAAAAATGCGTAGGTAAACACAAATGTTCATTTCCATAAGTAATGAATGAAAATTAGATTTTCTAACTTTTTATTTGCAGAACTAGCATATTAAAAATCATCACCAATTCTATATCCATTTATATGATATCAAATATATTAAATAGAGCTAGTCCCCATGAGTTTCTCTCAGAGCATAAATACAATAATTTGTATTGTTGAATTTAGATATTTACGTAGTTAAGTAATTCCATGATTTTTGCGCAAAAATTATATGAGATATAGACGATATATGTACATTGTATGCTGCCTACACATATTGTACATGTAATAAAAGTTGAACATAGAATTTGAATCTCTATTTACTACATGTATTTAGATTACATAATGATAACACTCTGTTATACTTGTACAAATTATTACATTGCCGATCCTTCACAAGTAAAACTCGAGCAGAAATTAAAGAGACCAAAGAATTTCAAATGTAACCGGAATGATTTTTAAAAGAAAGCACAAATAACGATGAAATTTCCGGAAATAAATTCAAAGCCGGCACATTGATTTTTGCATGTATTACTGGAATACATATGCATAAAGCACATTAGGAGAACCAGAAAAGTTTATTCCCGAACGTTTTTAAAGACTACGGAAAGAATAGCTTTATACCATTCGGTGGCGGCATAAGATATCCAGGAAGAGACATCGCTATTGCTGCAGTTAAGGTGTTGACAGTGTCGTTGTTTGCAAAGTATGAAGTCGAACTGGTGAATCCAAAACAACCGTTGCAAACTATTTACAAACTTGGTAATCCGTTCAGGAAATGAAAATCTATCTTGAGCCTAAATATTTTTTATAACGGCGCATTTTTATATACTGTACATGTATTTCTTATCAAATAGCAAATTTTCCCCTTTTTTTTAAAAAATAATGCACAAAGAAAACGGAAGTGTTATTATGGTTGGGAAATAGTATTATTATATCCAATTGCCAACTTTGAATATCTTGCAAAAGGAGATTTTGGGTCAATTTATAAACGAAAAAGAGAAGTAAAAGTCGTGTTGAAATCATTAACTTTATTGTAAGGTAACATATATGCATAGATGCACCCATAGAGATGCATGCATGCACCATAAAATCCTATGGATATGAAGGGTAGTTCAGAATTTTCAAAATTCGATATATTAAAGTTTTACTAATAATAGCTCTATAACATAAAGCTGAAAATAAATTTCGTTGCATCGCGAATTTACTATGTGTTCGTTATATCAAGGTATGTTATTATCGAGGTTCAACTATATAGAATGTCGAATCGTTGACAAATGAAAACGAATACATCCAGTATGATTTTTTACATTATATTATCATATAGTGAATACAGTGGTCGTCATAAATATTCAGAATTTTTAAATTTGTATATATATTATATGATAAAGAATGAATAGAATTTT